ACTTAACAATATTCTCTTTAAAAAGAGAATTGTTTTTAGTTATTCATTTATTTGAAAGGCAGGATGATAAAGACAGAGAGAGAAAGATATCTTCTACCCAGATTTTTCTTGCACTTGGCTTTAAAAGCCAGGGCGGGATCCGGCCTCAGTCAGTAGCCTCTCACGGGGGTACAGTGGTCCAGGCCTGCGGACCGTCACCTGCTGTCTTCCACGGTGCGTTAGCAGGGAGCTGGAGCAGAGAAGCTGAGACCTGAACTACCTGAACTGGCGCTCCGATGCGGGATGCCGGTGCTGCAGAGGACATCTCATTCTGCACACGCTCGGACACCAACCTTTTCTCCTCACACTGCATTTTAAAACTGTGGGCATTTGGAGAATTTCCAAAACAGCTTTTATAAAAGTATTTGCTCCTAAGAGTAGCATCCTCAAAGTTGTAGGTTAGGATGTTTCTGGATGTCTTGTCTTAAGGTGACCTAAACAGACAAACAAAAAACAGTCAAGACCCAAATAAGGAACAGCAAAGTTGGTTAATTCCACAGCACAATCCCAAGCTTGAAGACTCGTGCACCTGCCAGGATCATGCCCTCAGGCAGAACGTCCTGGGATGGCAGGTCCAGGTTTTCATACAAACTCACCAAGTTCAGCTGAAGAGAGCTTTTCAGGTGAGGACCCCTACAACACCTGGAATGCAACGAAGCTTCTTTGCTATCTGTCCCAGAATCAGCTACGGAAGGACTGTGTTTCTGTGACTGAGCAGAGAATCTCTGATGCGAGATGAGTGGGTCCCCTGGGCTGACCCAGGGAGGTGTCTGTGCCCCCTGCACTCACAGGCACCTCTAACATTTAGGCCTGAGAGCTTCACTTCAGCCCCTTCCTCACACTTAGCAGGCAAATTTCAAACAGGTAAAGCTTTTTCCATCTCTTATATATTCATTTTCAGGGGTAGAGAAAGCTCCTAAGTAATGTGCGTGCGTGGGAAGAATGAAACGGTCTTTCCCCACAGTGACCTTGAGGCGATTTTATCTGACCCTGTGGTACTTGTCAATGTGTATTCTGCATGGCTGGATATGGGAGACAAAAGCTCCCCCTCAGTGACATCTCAGTCAACATAAATTATGCTTGTAATATCAAGGTAATGAATCATGATGCATGATGCGAGTGAATCTGATACATATAAAACTCCTGGATTCAGGTTCTTTAGAAAGCAGATGCTTTCCCCAGCAGTGGTAGAGTCCCAGTAAGTGCATGCATACTCGCTTTTTAAAAATCCATTTATTTGAGATCGAGGGAAACAATAGGGACGGTGCTCACATCTGCTTGTGGCATGTCCACAAAAGCTGGTGCTGGGCGAGGCTGAACCGAAGGTCAGGAACCCAGTGTCAGTCTCCCACTTGTGTGGCAGGAACTCAGCGGATCCTCCACCTGCTGCCTGCCGTGTCTGCACCAGCAGGACTCTGGAGTCAGGAACCAAGCTTGGCATTGATGCTGAGGACTTCAGAAAAATGTGCTTACACTCCAGCATTCCTGTATGTGCCTCTAGTTAGTATATTTATTAGGAAATAGAAAAAAAATAATCTAGGCATTTGTGTTAGCTTTCAATGTAAGGAATTATCAGAGTTGTGTATTTTGAATAATATCATTACTTCTTTTTAAAAAAGATTTGTTTGTTTTTTATTGGAAAGTCAGATTTACAGAGAGACAAATATTTTCCATCTGCTGATTCACTTCCCAAATGGCCACAATGGCTGGAGCTGAGCTGATTCATCTGAAGCCAGGAGCCAGGAGTTTCTTCTGGGTCTCCAATGTGGGTGCAGCTTCCCAAAGCTTTGGGCCATCTTTGACTGCTTTCTCATGCCACAAGCAGGGAGCTGGATAAAAATTGGAACAGCCAGGATACTAACCAACGCGCATATGGAATTCCGGCATGTACAAGGCAAGGACATTAGCCACTAGTTTACCATGCCAGGCCCAATGCTGTTACTTGTTGGCTGAATGACACAAGCAGCAGTTAGCTTCCAAATCAGGTGTGACCATGAGACTCTACCTGTGGCAGCAGCACAGTTCTCTCTGATGGTCATGGTCATCTGTATGCAGTGCTCCTGATTGGCACAGTGTCTGTTTTGTAGAGGTCCTGTGCAGCAGAGCTGTGCCCCCAGCTCGCATGGAGGCTGCCTCTTGGCTCCAGGAAAGGGGTGTGCAAGAGCCCCCAAACCTTCATTCTTCGGGGACTCTGGAGGCACAGATCTGTAACTGGCCTTTCTGAACAGGTGTGGAGTCATCAGTGTTGGAAGCGAATGGTCAGCAGGTGAAAGCATATTTTGCTTGCTGGTTCTGGGCCTTGAAAACACAACTTCTGTTCTTTTCAGTCCATGAGTACACTCCATGGGAGGGGACAGTCTGGACAGTGCCAAGGCCATGGCATCTCTGTTTTATTTCTAGTGCAGTATGCTTCTATCACAGAAGACGTTATGCTTGTGTTGAGAAACATGCTGTACAAAATCACCCACGACATGACAGCAAACCCTGGCTATGCCTTAAGCTTCACCGCATGATCTGTGGCTCATGCACCGTGGTTTTGCTCCCTGAGCAAGCCTATGATGTGGTGTGTTGTACAAGACACATGAATATGTCCTCTGTTTATCAAAATTTCAGCTATATTATCCCCAAACTATTTCCTCTGTAGGAAATTGGTCCTTGATTTTGGTATAATAACTTCCATTTGTTCTCCCAATAGGAAATTCAAGACTCAGAAGTGCCTCTTGGTTTTCTATCTGCCTTTAGAGAAAAATCCCCTCATATGATCCCTGAGGAAGACCCAGAGCAGGCCATGCTGCCACCCAGCTGACCCACTGTGCCCAGCACTGCTCACTGTGTACAACAGGGGCTCATGTTGAATCGGGCTGCGCATGGGCTGCCCAGCGCTTCTGAGTGGAGGGGGCCGCAGGGAGATCTTGGCCCAACAAAGCAGGGAAGCACAAGCCTCTCCTAGGACAGACTTGTCATGCCCTCTGGGTGCTTTCCACCCGGCAGGAACACACAGAGGAGGCCCAGCAGGAGTGCTGGATGCTCTGCCTCACCAAGCACTCAGCGCTGTGTGCCTTGCATAGCAGCACTGGCTTCCACATTGCCTTGAATCCTTGGCGTTTTTCTGTAGTTAGGTAAGGTACATGAACACACACACACACACACAGAATCTGAGAGAGTCTCAGTTGCTCCCAGACCTTGGTAAATTCTACAAATCATTATTATTTTTCATTGCAAGATTGCCCGGGATGCCTTACTGACCTGGAGCAAGACTGACATCCAAAAGAGCAGACCTTCCCTATAGGGACCAGATTGTGCTGCAGAGTGTGGGGCAGGAAAGCACTAACTGCAGGAAAGGGCATCGAAGCATGTGCACGGAAAGGGAAAAAACCAAAATTCTCAAGAATGACAAGGCTGTGTCTAATGAGATGAGGAAGGGAGGATGCCGGTGAAATCTGTACAAAGTGAGGCTGGGGTGCCTGACCCTCAGCTGGTCACATTTCAGGGATCCCCCCAGATATTACAAAGGGTCTACTGGAACATGCCGGGAATATTTTTGTTTGTTTGTTTTAAATAATCTTACTTAGTTGATTAGGGCACAGAGGGTCAAGGGCTACAGGAAAGTGGGTAAGACCATTGTTTCCACACTAATATCATCACTTTTTTTCCCTGTATCTGGGGTCAGGGGAGAAACAAAGGGAAAAGCCCCTCCCACCCATCCCAGGTCCCCGATGTGAGACATGCTCCAGGGTCCTGCTCAAGCAGTTTTGATAGTTCAACAGTTCTGAATTGCTGTCAATCTCGCCATTCCAAGCACGATGAAATCTATTCAGAGTGCACTGGCTGACATAGTCCCTTCATGGTTGGAGTTCTGAGAACAGTAAGTTGGAGGGATCTCCAAAGAAACTTCATCTGAGATGATCCCAAACCTGATTCTTGTGTCAATTTGCCAGTACAGGGTCTGGCACAGTCCAATGCCCCAATCAGCTTATGCACATGCTGGTCATTGCAATTGCTGAGTCAGTTCTGTATCCAGCCCTGTGTTCCACTTGACCCGATGGATTTTGTAGTCCAGCTCGATCCTACCCACTTCATATTCGGTCCTCACGCAAACCAGTGGGAGCTGCAGCCTAGTTGGGGTGACTCCCTATATCCCCCACCACCTGCCCCCTACCCTGGTTCCCATGCATGCCAGTATGTACCGCACACTTACTCAGTCTGTCCCACATCCCAATGGGTATTGAAGCCTAGTTCAACCCAACCAACCCTACTATCCAGCCCACACACATACTGGCAGGTGCCTTTCTGTCTAGCCACCCCTGCCTCTGTCTTGGTTTTCATGCTCTCCAGTGGGAGTGGTAACCCAAGAAGGAGGTGTCCACTATCTCCCTTCTAGACCACTCCTACTCTTGGGTTATGCGCTCTCCAGGGGGCTTGGGAGTTTAACTTGACAGATTTAGCCCCCAGCGCCAGCCTCTGCCAACTGATGCTGCAGCAAAGACCAACCAACCCTCACCCACTCTAATTTTTGCTTGCACTACTCGCAAGAATCAGCCCAACCTGGCATTTTCCTGATCTAGCGAACATGAGGCCCACAGGCGTTGTAGCCATGCGTGGTCTGATCTGCCTCCATCCCAACTCATGCTCTCCAGTGGGAGTGGTTGTCCAGCAGGGAAGCCCACATTCCCCCTGCCAGCTTTGCCCCCCACCCTGGTTCTCACATGTGCTGTGTGGGTGCTGCGACCACATCTGGTATGGCTCACCCTACCTTGGCATTGCGTAATGTGCACTGGTTTGACACAGCAGGAATGCTAACGAATGGAGGAAATGCCGAGATGAAATCATCCTTCCTGGAAACCTTCAGATCACAGCTCAGGGACAGTCACTCTCCCCCCGCCCATGTTGCGGATGAGGACCACATCACAGAGTCAGGAAGCCAGCCTCTGGAGTCCTTGCCTCTGCATTGTGTTATTCTGTAACTTTGTTAAGACTGCACAGAATGTGGCATGAGATGGCGCTCATGTCTGGGGAGGGCAGACAGTGTATACAAGAGACCTGCCCCAAAGGGGACCTGCAAGGCTCAGAAACACTCGTAAAATGTGAGTCAGTATTTGGGTTCTCGGGATAATGGAAATATTCCAGTCCCTCTTGTATCTCCAGTAACACAACACGGTCAGGATGCTTTGGTTACCCAGCTGCCGGGTCTCCATACAGGTAATGACATGTGGGATTGAAACGTGGATAAGCCAAGTGAGAGCAGCTGGGGTTGGAGGTGAGGCTGATTCTCCTAAACAGCATATGGCTGAGCAGCGACTGGATGCCTCGGAAGGCAGCGTGGTGAGCAAAAATGACATGGGACACTGCAGCCTGGTGCCCCGGGTGCATAACTGACTCATCCATCAGCCAGGAGTCTCCAGGGAAGAGGCTGTACATGTTAACCTAAAAATGCTTTTGCCCCTGACATTTAACCCAACCATTTCTTAGTCACCATCTTTAGATACCGCAAATAGCTCCCACTGGACGCGCATGCCTCTTTAAGGTCCATGCAAACACTGCTCTCCTGGCTAAACAGATGCCCTGATGCTGAAGCACTTAGCTTATCTGACCTTCACATTCATTATTTTTATTGCCCTAGCAGGACTTTTAACGCTCTCTTGTCCCGTCCTTGCGCAGTCCTGTGGTCTGGCGAGTAGACTCAGTTCTGTCTTAACCCTAAGGGATAAGTGCTTAAGCCCGGGCAGGTGCTCCAACTTCTCCCCAGCACGCGCCTGTCTGAGCTCCAAGGTTTTCAGGAGACAGGAGCAGTCTTAAATCTCCTTGAGCAGGAGTGTATGAGGTGGCATTACAATTCTTGCAAAAACTGAAAGTGAAATGAGGAAGGCCGATTGAGCAATCAATGGAAGGGCGAACGCCAGTGCAGCGACTGCACGGTTGGTCGTGGCAGAGATGCAGAGGGGCAGAAAGAAGAGAATCGAGGAGAACTCTCCTGAGGGGCAGAGCCTGGCCCGGCGATGTAGTCAGAGCAGGGCACACACAGATAACAGGAAATGATCCGGCATCCCCTGTGGTCACTTTCTCTAAAGGCCCTAACCTCCCAAGTGCAAGTACTGCAATGGATGACTCCACCGAAAGACAGCAGTCCCGCCTTCCCTCTGGCATCAAAGAGACAGAAGAAATGAAACTGAAGGAGTGTGTTCCCCTCCTCCTGCAGAAGGAAAGCCCCTCTACCCGCCTCTCCAGAGATGGCAAGCTCCTGGCCGTGGCCTTGCTGCTGGCCCTGCTCTCCTGCAGCCTCTCGGTGGTGTCTCTCTATCGGGTGGCCGCACTGCAGGCCGATCTGTTGAACCTCCGGGCAGCAGTGCGGGGCCACCAGGCGGAGCAGCTGCCTGAGCTTCCTGGGTCAGACACAGCTTCCCCCAAGGCCGACCTGGAGGAAGCTGCAGCTATCACCACAGGACTGAAAGTGAGTTCAGCTTCAGCCCCAGGACCAGCCTGCCTCCTCGCCACTCCGCCGCCCCGTCCCCCGCCCTCCTGCTCGTGTGCTGTGTGTCCAGTAACCTGGAGACTTTTCTCTTCCTAGGGTCTTTTGGCACCGGCAGCAGCTCCGAGAGAAAGCAACTCCAGCAGGAGCAGCAGGAGGAAGCGTGCCGTGGAGGGTGTAGACGAAACAGGTATGTCTGGGACACGGAAGCATTTAGGAGTGAGGGACATGTTCATAGGTATCACTCAAAGCACCTGGTTTGGGGGAGCAAGCAGGGAACACAGCCTCGGGAGTCCTCCAGGAGAGCCCACGGCACTGCTCTGAAAGCCAGAGCAGTTTCAAGCAAAGCCTGAGCATGGGCAGCGTCCATGGTGGCACTGGACGCTCTGTCCCGCCATGAGCAGAGTGTTGGCACTAAGTATTTATCTGAGCATCAGTAAATATTTATCTGCTGTGAAAGAAGCCTAGAGAGAAGACAGGGACACACTTCATCCTCAAAGAGTGCGTCCCTATGTGAGAGCACGGCCCATTCCTGCAAAGAGCAGAGCAGGAACGGGGCCTTGGGTAGTATCCCAGGACTGCTTTGCGGTTCCTGCCAGCAGGTGGAAAAACAGTGAGACCCGACGAATGAGTGTTCCTCACTTTTGTTTCTTTGCTAAAAGGAGTATTTTACACACACACACACACACACACACACACACACTTCCAAGCCTTTGTTAGTGCACACTTTTCCAGGAGATGCATGAACTTACAGTCTTCTTGTAATAGCTCTTCAGTGACTTCGGCCTTTCTTCACCTGTTTCTTCCTCAGAGTTCCATGGCGTTAGCTAGATCTGTCAAAATAATCAGTTCTAATTCCCACTAGAAGTTCATTGTGAAGTGCTTGGGCTGTGTGGACGAGCGGTGCATCTCAAAGCTCCTCTGTGTCAGTCCTTCTTACTCTCGAGGAGCATGCTTGAGTGTGTGGACTACGTGAGGCAGGCACCAACAAGGACAGGCATTTTCGCAGTTTCGGGGACTTGGCAGGGACTCCGCGAGGCCCTCAGACCACACAATCTTGGCTCTTGTGCTTTCCTTCTGTGGAGTAGTGTGTGTGGTCCTGAGAGCCGGGCCAGGTTCCTCCACACAGATGCGCACAAGCTGCTGTCTGGTCTTCTTATTACCTGTAGGTTCAGAAAAGTAAACACCTTTTATTCTGTGAACTCATCCTTTGTTATAACTGCTTCCCTTATCTTTGTATTTAGGAGCAACCGGGTGTAAACATTTTAAAAGCATTTAAAAGAAACACACTTTATTATAATTATGTTTCTATTTTGCATTTTGTGTTTTATACATAATTGATAATAGTATAACATATACTGTTTTTTATTCATAGAGGCAAACACTTCCTATCTTTGTAAGTAACTCCAAAATATGTGTCAATTTGTTTTCACACCATTATTTCACATGCTTACTTCTATTTTTGCCTAAAATAGAACATGCAAATTTTTGTGCATGTGTCTTTTGTGTCTGAAGAATTATATATTCAATATAAATCCATAAAATAAAATTTCTGAGCTAAAAACAAATGAATACTTTTATTACACTTGCTAACTTATTGGCATGTTTTCTCAAATCAGCTTGTAAATAAGCAATACAAAAGATAGTACATCAGTTCTACACCTTCTTACTAACATTTTGTTTTTAAAATTTTATTTTCATATAGCAGTTGTAAAACAATTTCTAAGTTATTTTAATGTGTTACATGTTATTAATATAAGGATGAACTTCTTATTTTGAGTAATTCTATCTTCTGTTAATTCTTAGTTTTTAAAGATTGATGTGTTGATTTCGTGGTAGGCTGACACAGGGTAGGGGCATGGAGAGAGAGTGACATTTTCCAGTGCTGGTTCACTCCCTCAATGGCCCGAGCAGCCGAGCTGCGTGCGGCTGAAGCCCGGGTCCTGGGCCTGCCTGGCGCTTCTCTGTGGCTGGCAGGCTGCATCAGCAGTGCAGCAGCCAGGACCTGAACCTGTGCTCCCATACGGAACGTTGGCATTGTAGGGGGCGGCCTGACACTCTGCACTCTAAACATGGTCTGACTTCTCCCAGATGTGTATTCTATAATTTTACATAATTTTGAGTAAGCTCTTTCTATTTAGACATATTGCTTTTTTATCAAAACAATTTTTTTTTCATTTTGAAAAATAAACACAGAGAGAGAGAGAGAGACCTTCCATTTCTTGTGTCGCTCTCCAGATGCCCGCAACGGCTCAGGCTGGGCCGTGCTGAAAGCAGAAACCCCCAAGTGAAGCCAGACACTCCTGGCAGCCCAAATTCCTGACCCGTGCCCTGCTGTCTCTTCGGCGTCTGCTATGGGAGCTGGCATTGGAAGCAGAGCTGGGTCTCAACCCCAGAGACTGACATGGGTTGTGAAAATTCCAGATGAGACCTTGTCTGTGGCAGCAAATACCTGACTCTGCTTCTCCAAGTTGAATGTCAATGTTTCCATGGAACTTTGACTTGTGCAGATTCTGCCTTCATGCATATTAATGTGATCAACTTACTTTTTTAAAAAAAGTTTTCTTTAATAAATCAAAACCAAGCCAAGTCTTGCTTGTGAGCTGTTAGGTGACCCACTTTAGATTCTAGCATTTTGACTCAAAGTTTGATCTTTTAGTTTAATTTCTTAATATTACATGCATTTACTTCTGTGAATTACTTCATACTGTCTTTAATTTCTTCCTTTTTTCATTATTTTCCCTTCTAAACTTCTATCACAACCAAATATAATAGATAATTCTTGTAAAGCCTTTGTGTTAGAAAAAAATTACTGAATTATATTGAGTTCTTCATATGAGTGACTATTTGAAGAACTTTCTTTCATTGATTTATTCTATTTACCTTTTTCAAATAAACTATGTTAAGCGACGGCAGTATCTAGTGCAATCACGATTCTTTCATCTTCTTTAGCTTTCTTTGTCAATATTCTCTTGCTTTGATTGTGACCATGTCATTCTAAATGAGGTATGGGCTCATTTCTGTGGATTTCATAAAAAATAATACAGTAAGAAATTACCCCGACTCACACTTTCTCCAGATATTCTCTCTGAGTGTCTAAAAAGTGCTTTTATGTACATATTATACATGTATGTGTTTTTATGACATTCCCTAAATTTTATAATGGTGAAAAATGTTCTGCAAATAATTTTCAATTGGTAGAAAGTTTGGGGAATAACAAGAAATTGCAACGAAAGCAATCTAAATGTACTGATTTGCTCAGATCTGATCACTGTTGTCAGCACCATTATTACCTTAGATGCTTTGCAAACCCTTAATGTAGCATATTGTATCTTATTATTACTGCATGATATACGTAGGTATCACATTCACAAATTCAACATGCAGCATTTGAAAGCAGTTTTAGTGACAGGTAGTAACCTTGACTCCTTGTCAATGAAATAATCTTGAATGTTGTTCTAGATGCTATCCTTTGGTAGAAGGAACACTTAATTTGCTTAACACTGCTCCAAAATTGTCTGAACTCCAGTGACATTTTTTACTGCTCACCAGGGTCATTTTTGGAACTGAGAGAGTTCTAAGTGGCGCGAATCTGTGCAGCTTTGTTGTATAACTTACTTTAAGGAAGACTCAAAGTCTTGCATCGCCCCTTGGGATTAGAGTCGTGTCTGTGGCTGCTGTCTGTAGCTAGGAAGCACTGGCATTTCTGGTGGGATTGCATAGAAGCCGTAGATCAAAGAGCAGACATGACCGTCGCAGCATGCCGCTGGACGCTCCCTCCCAGCTCTCCCAAGGGTAAACACCAACCTTACTTAATTGTAACAGTTTAGGACTTGGCTTCAGTTTTGTTTTTCTTAATTATAAAATGCTTCAACTAAAGCCTTATTACGCTTAATGTGTTTCGTAAGGTTGCTTTTGATTACAGTTCAATAAACAGAAATGTGGGGAAATCCAGAATAAAAATTGCAAAATAAGCCATATTAACAAAAAATTCACTTTTAAGTGTGTAAATGTATTTGGAGGTATTCCCAGTTGAAGAGAAATAATTAAAGCAATATGCCTTTTAAAATATTACATAGTACATTTTCTTTCCAAATTGATCATGATTTGTCTGTATTTTGAACACACACTTGCTTATAGTTTTATCCATTTCATGATGAGATGATGAGAAGCTTAAATATGTGTGAATAAGAATGGGAAAGATTGCCACATGTTCTTTTCCAAATAATAATTGTAAGATTTTTTTGCTGATATACTTCAAGTTCTTTTTCTCCATTTTAAGTATCTAAAGATAGAAAACGTAGAGTTTTAGGGTTCACAGTAAAGTTACATGCAGTGTCCAGGTCCTGTTTGGCGCTTCACTCTCTTTTCCTAATGACACTGTCTTACGTGGCCGTGACGCCTGGTCACACAGAGATGCCAGCACTGCGACTGAATTACTCGCTAAACTGCATACTTGACTTGAATTTGATCAGTTTTTCCACCAGTGTCTTTGACGTGTTCCAGAAGTTGTCCAGGATGCCAGTTTCCGTTGAACATGGTTTTAAACTAAGATTTTGAACACTGTACATATAAGGTAGCACCTAATATTGGAACTTGGATATCTCTGTAAAAGTGCTTCAAGTAAAAACATCCAAACTGCCTTTGAGTCCCGTTCCCTGAGCTCTGCAGAGACAAGCCGAGTGCCGTCACACCCAGCTTGCCCACATTCCCGGCTCACCGTGAGTGCAGGACGCGAGGTGTGGAGAACTCGCCTTCCGTCTGGTGGGAACGCGGAGGAGCCTGCGCCTCTCACCAGCAAGGGCACACTCCTCCCTGGAGCTCAGCCAGCTGGCAGCCGCCCTGTTGCTCTTTCACCACAGGCTTGACTGGGCGTTAGGTTTTTCCTCCTCTGCTTCAATAATGACACTGCTTTTCAATGTTGCAAGAGCTGGGTTCTGGTGAGTTTCCAAAAAGAAAAGAAAAAAATAATCTTTGAACCTTTTTCTCGTTAAGCTTGAAATTTTGGGAAACAGAAGAAACAGGAAACAAATCAACCAACTTGATAAAGAAGAAATTTGTGCCTTTGCTGCAGACTCTGACTGACACGGAAATAGCACACACATGACAAGAGGAATTGTAATACTAGAAAGTGATAAATGTATTGAAAGGTCATGCATTACGGAACGTGAAAAGTGAGGCAGTGTCTCT